ACCGAGCGCATCCTAGCGTCTCCGATTGAGGCATATTGGGCAAAGCAAGCGAAGACCAGTCTTGAACAAGGGATTCGGTTGGTTTGCCGCTGGGAAACACCGCTCCGAGTCCTAAGTTGTGTACGCGTTCATCTTCCGACAAGTTGTCGCCATTTTTCGAAAGGAGGTGTTTCCCGTGCAACAGTAGGAAATACGAAAAGAAAGAGCACGACTCGGGTATCTCCTGCTGAATGTGCTCCTTAGCTTCATTTGTTTTCAAATTGACTGGCGGTGTCTGCTCTTATCTCTCTCATCTCTCAGCTCACATTCGATTAGAATGCCTCCCTTGCGTGCCAAGTTCTCTTTTAAGTACCCATATCTCTTTGTCGCCTATTTACACACACGATAGACTTAAACGGCGCCCAATGGGAATTATTCAAGGTGTAGTTAAGTGCCTTTGATCTAATCAATTGCGTAGTGGCGCGCATGTCTCTGCACACACGTATTCCTAACTCAATGCACTCTTTTCGTTACACATCAGAATTGTCTTAACATTTGAATCCCTCTACATGTGGCAGAAAAATGGAAATCACTTCTAAAGCCACAGGGTACTCGCAATTCCTTGCCTATCCTTTCCAACATATTGCCACACTCCGTGTCAATCGCCGACCAAAGTGGCCCACATCACCTTTATATCTTCGTCTTCCCGTGCCTCCTTTGCACATCTTTTCTCTGTTGTTTAAAGCTGGAGTCTTCCGCTCCCCCACGACGAGGAAACGCGTTGCGAATTATGAATCCTTCGTCACGTTACTGTTCCTTAGTGGACATGCTCCCTCTGTACGAGCACTGCTGATCCTCTTGCTGCTGGGGCACTCCCCCTGAATTACCCCGTTCTTCTCCCAGAAGCGGAAAGAAGTAATGTACACGAATTTCGTAAATTCTACCCGCGACAGGCATCCTCTTAGGCAACCAGCCCTCCCCACGGGCCCCAGCCCGCTCTCATGTCCTTGTGGCCAGCATCTCGCTGCTCCTTGCGCATCGGTCCTTCCCTGTTTCCGTATCCGCCCATGCCTGCATGTCGCCCGCTGTCTCTCCCGCCCCGTTCCTTTTACCTCTTCGAAACCTCTTCCTCGCCCTCGCCCTCCGCCCATCCCTGTCCCTCCTCCCCCGACAAGGGACACCCCACATCCCACCCTCCACTTGAATCCTCTTCCCCCACCTCCAGACCCGCCAGCCTCCCCTCCTCTTCCTCTTCCTCTTCCTCCTCCTCCACAACCTCCTCTTCCTCTCCCCCTCTCCCTGGCCCCACGGCCAGGTCGCGTATGGACGCGAACCGATCGTCGGCGTAGTGGTCCACGTCCAGCGTGTTCCCACTCACCCCCAGCCAGGCCCGCTCGAACGCGGCCAATTGCCGCATGAAGGACGGGTTCGGGCTTGTGCAAGGCCGACGCTCTCGGACGAAATTGAAGGCCTCCAGCAAGGGCATCTTGAAGTGACGCATCAGGTAGGCTATCACCACCGAGGTCGACCGCGACATCCCATTCCGACAATGCACCAGGCAGGCGTGCCCCCCCGCCCGGGCCCGATCAATCATTTGGAACGCCGTCTCCATCTTCGTCTCGGAGAGTTCCTCCGAGAGCGCATCCAGCAAGAAGAGCTGGCAGTAGTCGCCCCTGGACACAGGGTGATGGGGGTAGTAGTCCTTGACCGTGGTGTTGACGATGTGCGTGATGTTGAATGTCTCAGCGAGCGCGTCCTGGCTGGGGATGTGCTCCCCGCCCACGTATAGGTAGTCGAGGATCTTGCTCCCGTCGTAGTGGAAGTCCATGGTAGAGAGGGCCATGGGCCCGGATACACTCGAGCATCGCGGCCCGGTGTCCACCGTGAGCACGCGCCTGCTGCTGCTCCGGCTCGCCGCGGTCGGGTCTTCCCGGCTGCTGGTCTCGCCCGGCGTCATGATGATGGAGGAGGAAGAGGAGGAGGTGGAGGTGGAGGAGGAGCAGCAGGAGGTCTCCTCGATGGCTGTGGCTGGTTGCCGCCTGCGCAGGCGGGCCATCAGGTTCAGGAGGGAGGGAGGGGAGGAAAGAGGCTTGCCGCCGCCGTTTGGCGTGGAGATACTGCCACTGTGGGTGCCATTGACGCTGCGGCTGGGGGGAAGGGGAGGCAAGGGTCGGGGAGGCAGGAGGGAGGTAGCTGGATGGGAGGAGTTGCCGCGAGGCGTCAGGATGAGGGCAGGGAAGCCCCTTTTCTTGACCTTGAGGCCCGGACACCGGTTAGACGATGCTGGCGGGGTCCCTGCGGAGAGGGTGTTGTCGACTGGCAAGTCCATCAGCGCGGACGAGGCGGAGTTGGAACGTTTGAAAAAGCCAAAGGTCGAGCGCTTGGACGTGAGAGGGGGGCTGGCTGTCTCGGCAGCTTTTTCTTTGTCTTCCTCTAATCCTTCTGTGCATATTTTTCTGCACGCGCTGCTGCCGCTGCTTTGGCTGCTACTTCTGTTTCGAGCGTCCTCCACGCTCTCCGTGGGGTTGCTCGGATTGCCTCCCTGTCCTTCCTGTTGGTTAAATATCTCGTCGGGAGTCGTATCAAGACCGTGTCTGGGTGACGCCCCTACAGGAGCTTCCGCCGGAGACGCCGGCGCTAACTCTTTGTTCCGGCTCAAGGAGCGCGAACATGGGCTCAGTACGGTTGATTCTTGTGTTGTGCTTGGATCGTCGTCTTCAGGTGCGTGAGGAGTGCTAACGCCGCCAAGCCCGGAGAAAAGCATGAACGGCTCCTCCAACATGAGGGGGGCCGGACGAGAAGGACGGACCATACAAGGCAAGACCGCACTGTTCCAGTTGGTGGTGATTGTTTTTTATGTGTCGCTTGGTTGGGGCCCGCGAGAAAGGTACGCTTATGGTCGACGACAGCGACGACGATACTCAAAGGTAGTGTTTACCGATTCTGGTGCTGGCCACTAAGAACCAAAAAGCAGACAGATGTATTTTGAAACATGTGTGTATGTATATGGAGGACAAGAAGGGAAAGAAGATGGCGTGAGAGGGTCGCACACTACTGGATTGAACACGGGGTTGAATGTTCAGGTGGTCTCGAGTGAGAGGATTCTGTGCTTGCATTCTCCTCATCATTCCGACTGCAAAAAAAAATACTTCACACAAAACTAGACATTTACACCCATGAAAGGCGCACGCATGGGAAACCACGCAACAAAGAACTTATGCTCACGGAGAAAATGGGTTTCGACCGCGTTGGATCCTGGAGCAACCGCCCTGGGTGGTGACGAGGGCCCACCTTTATGTCATAGTCCAGTGAGTGAGGTGGCACTCAGCAGGACCCCCGCGCCGAGCGCAAGCCTTCAAGGCCAGCTCACATCCACAAAGTCCACCCATCGTGGAAAAAACGGCGTTCACGACCCTTCGAAGCACGGCACAGAAGGTCGAGTTGCCTTTCACGGCCTCGATACCCCACGTGTGGCACTTCCATGGAACCAACCGACCAGAAGGCAGGGTCTGATCTTTGCCAGCTGCTGCTCGCCGTGCAACCCGTCCCAAAAAACAATGGAAAACGAGTGCAACATGGGAAAAAATGCGCGATTGACACGCACCTGCCCCACGTGATATCGCAAATGCGTGCGGTGGGACAAAGAAAGTTGCATAGGGGAGGATGTCGGAATGACACGCCGTGCTAGTGCAGGGTGGCTTTGACGCGAGACGTCAGCTACAGGAAGCTAGCGAAGAGGCGGTGGCACTTTGACACTTCCGCCCCCGACGCTGACACGTTCTGCGTATAGTGACACGTAAATATGGCCGTCTTTCAGGAAGCATAGTCCAGGAGGGGGTGGCCTCAGAACGCGTGGGGTGTATTAAACGGGCCTCAGTGATCGACTTTGCGTCGCGTGGCGCCTAGATGGCCACGTCAGCAAACATAGACGTGATACCAAAGGGTTGGATATTTTATGTCACGTGGCTGTGGAAAGGCGCCTTCAAGCGACCTCGCACTCTTACTTTGTGAGCCTTGGTCCCCGCAGTGGATAGCACGCATGTGTCTTTTGCCTTCTTCCGTAGCCCAATTCGTACAAAGGGGCTGAAATTGTGGGCCATTCTGGATAGGGGTTCTTGGGAGGATGACCTCCCACCCTACTGCTTGTACTGAAGGTGAGACATCCCTTCCCACCATCAATTGTCAGCATGTTAGGCTTATTTGTACGGTCATGGCACGATGCACGGCATCGATACATGCATATGACGATTTATCCCTTTTGTGTCGCGGATACACCGCATACGTCGATGTACCCTCCACTTGACCTTCACCTCACGATGTCTACACTCCCACAAGCTGTCCCGCTCTCATAAATACTCGCTTTGCTCCCCTATCACCTCCACCGACAAAACAACGGGTCTGCCTGCCTATTATTACACTCGTGCAGCACAGGTAATGAGCGGGCAACGTCGTCGAGGACCTGCGCACCAGAATACATTCGCGTTTCGACACAATCCCAAGAGCAAGAAAACCGAGCGCATCCTAGCGTCTCCGATTGAGGGTCTCTGTCAACGATGCCATGAAAAAGTAGAATGGCGAAAAAAATATAGGAAATACAAGCCACTTAGCGCCCCTGCAACATGCACCGGCTGTCACACCAAGAGTGTCCGTGCGGCGTACCATCAAATTTGTGACCCGTGCGCTGAAAAGCGCGCCGTCTGCGCAGGTTGCGCTGAGCCCAAGTCGATTGTCAAGAAGACAGGAGCGGCTGCAGAAAAGGACGTGGAGGAGAAGCGCCGGGCGTTAGAGAGAGACATAAAAGGGTTACATTTGCGAAAGCAGCGCAAAATTCTGAGAGAATTTGATCGGTCGGGCGGAGATATGGATGTGGAAGGTGCTATGGAGGCGGTGGGATCGGACCTCGATGACGACGGAATAGGAGATAGCGACGACAAAGAACATGATGAGGATTCGGAAAGAGAGTGAGGGAGCGAGATATGGGGCAGGAGGGAAGGAATGGACGCCTCAAATGCGAAAAGTGTTGAGCATTGTGTTTAAAGGACGAGGGCTGAAAGGACGAGGGCTGAGAGTATACACCTAGACTAGAACTTGTAATTAAACGGCTGAAAGTATCATCAAATGAGGCGATCTCTATGTTGAAAATGTCGATTGTAGATCCAGGGAGGATGACGACCACCTCTTGAAGGCACACGTGGTATCGAATTGTTACATTCTTTTTTCAGGGTGTGTTGCCGGCATTATTAATGGAAGAAGACGTGGGATCAAAGAACTATGCCTTCATGTGGTACCTGATCAAGGAGCCCACAGTTGGATACTACAGAGCTCTTCTTCCAAAAAGCTCTCCATGCAAGGGACCCCTTGACAAGCCCAGGATTCATTCATAAGAGACCTTCCGTGACAATCCATTATATGTCATATTCTAGCAATGTCAGTGGTTGGCCGAATGTCTCGCCCTCCTTTCAACGCATACATGGCGGCCATGGTATCTGATGTCCCTCATCTCTGGGCCCATATGCAACACGGCAGGCTTCTACAGGAGTAGCTTGAGCATTAGGCTGGGCTATGTCGTCGATTACGCCTCCAAATTTGTACCGTGCCTGCCAAGGGCCCATCATCTTAACTTTTGGGGAAAAACTCTTGAGATTTTCCTTCGTACAATCAGTCGTTCCTGAAAAGTCACAAAACGATGCCGGATTTATGCACAAGCACCGCCGAGCACTTTTTTCGCGCAATTGTTCTTCCCCCCGTCTCCACTACTGGGGGCGTGCCTGCCTGAAGCTCATGCCTGTCGACGCTTGTTTATATTCAGGTCTGGACCGGGGTTGATAATGGAAGAGTATGCGTAGAAAGAAGAGAATAAGACATAGTCTCTGCCACGGGTGTGTAATTCACATTTTTCCGGCATTGCCTTGAGGTGCTCGTATCAGGACATAACACAGATTAGTGTGTCTCTGAATGACAAGTCATTTCTTTCTCTTGCAATTTTCTTCAATTGTACAGATACGCATCCGGAACCTTTCTCTGAGCAAGCAATTGGCTTTGAAAGGAACCACCCGGTTGAAGGAGGGTGGTGGTAGCGGCAAGTCGGCAACGAGACCGGACAGGGCTGCAGCATGGGGTCCGTCGTAGGCAAGAGTGTCCCGAACACTCCAGCATTTACCAGTCCTTTGGTGAGTCTCAGAAGGGAATAGTGTCCTGTGACCTTCAAGCCGTTCCATTCCTGTCCTCCATTCGAAATTTACGCATTTTGGCCGATATTCGTTTTTTTTATCCTTGACCTGGCTCCTCCTACCCACATCCACAGATATATTCCTTGATCAGTACCACGCGCCATGTGGTATGTACAGCTAAGGAAGCGCAATTGATCGCGAGTATAGGAGTTGTAAGTCCTGTTGATAATGGAAAAAAGAACAGCAGCAGCAGCCACATCAGCACTGGTAGCAGCAGCAGCAGCAGCAGCAGCAGCAGCAGCAGCAGTATGAGTGGTGATATCCGAAGCCGAGATAGCAGAGGAGCGGTGAAAGAGGATGGGCCGGATGATGACGAAGGAGAAGTGGCCGAAAACGACAAGACAGGAAAAGAAGCGGAAGAAGAGCTTAACAGAATAAGTAGAAAGGAAGAGGGAGACAAGGGAGGATGGGGAGGAGGAAGGAGGAGGCTAGGCAGACGGCGAGCACCCGCGTTCGCCATGGGCATGACGCAAGTGGCACCGATACAGAAAATCCTCGACCAGGTAGGGCGGGGCCGCACGTGGTGGAGACACTCGGGTGGGGCTTTGGTGTCTGCACAAGACGCAGGATAACTTTTTTCACACTCGTTCCGTCCTGTTCCTTTTCTCGCCCTCCCATCCCTAGATCGAACTCCACCACCTGGGCATGATAGCGCCCGTGCACCCCCACCTCCAGCCTCCCACCAGCCGTCCCTCGGAAATTCACTACCTGTGCTTGCTCGAGGAGGAAGACTTCCATGTCGGGGTCT